GGGGGGGCGAAACCACGCCACTTGACTCTATGGCAGACCTTACAATACAACGCATACGCATTAATCATTCGGCCACCAAACCCCCTCGATATTTAAGGCACAATGAACATTTAAAAAACATTTGTATGAATAAAGCAAAACGACAAAAAGATAAACGTGCAGACTGGACTTACCGAGGCGCAAACGACTACCATTCGATTTGGCCTGCACACGTATTTCACCAAACAAAGAAATTCCAATAAAATGTTTAAAAATTAGTTGTAAATCAGTTTATATTCATTCATATTACACTGATTATTTGCTTTTGACCCACTTTAATCTATTTTAAGGTTACAAAGAATAGAGCTATACATAGACACCATTTAATATCATATTCAGAATAACCCAAGCCTTGCAAAACAGGGGCCTGTTTCACGAAATCTTAACTAAAGATAAAATCAAAATTTTAGCAGATACTTCAATTTTGATTGGCTAAGCACTAAAAGCAATCTAATATTATCCAATCAAATTACTAAAATTTGGATTTTATCGTAGTTAAAAAATTTCGTGAAACAGGTCCCTGAGCAATATTATTTTAACGCCTGTAGACTGAAAATCTAGCTAGAACATCCCATTGATGGTTTTGTTGGTAGATTTTAACACACACGATATGAACTCCATAGTTAAATTTAATTTTTACCAAGAGCGAATCCCATTTTATTATTATAAAGTATATTTATAGTGTATGATTGTATTCCTGCCAGATAAAATGTTTTAATTTGTTCGCACATTCAATATGTTATATGTTTGTTATTTGTTTGTATAAACTGAACATTCAAACCAATAACAATGAACTCTTATAGAGCCAAAATATCCAACACAAACAAAATATAGAACAATATACCTCAAACAATCCAAAAGGGCAAAGTGAATGACAAAGTCATTTTATAACGACATAAAGAAGGAAAAATGGTGCGCCACAAATGCTTGAATCACTTCCAAAAAGTTCCAGTTCCAGTGTTTATGATTATCATGACTACCACAAAACAAATCAAAACATAAAATTCAGTGAAATCGACAATTTTATTTTTGACACAAATTAAAGGGGACGTTGCATTTTAAAGATGAATTATGTAAGATTACAATAAAAAGCTGACTGGTCTTGCTATAATAGTTAATGAAAAGATGTGACAAGTTTTGACAAGATATGGCGTAGATTGTTTATTATTGTAGCAACGGTATCCATTTTATCGTTAATTTTTTAAATCTCACGAGTGTTCTTATATCTATTTAAATCTCGGCAATCCGTTGGTCTTAAGAGTTGATTTAAGGCTTGTCATGTGAATAAATGTCTAAATAATATTATAAGCCTAGACGGCACAAAATGATCTCTCTGGCGACGTTGGCGACGTACTCCATCAACAATTGTAATTCAAGTGGGAAATGTTTAATTAATGTCTGTCGTTTAGATAGGACAAAAAAAAACGATTTCTAGTGTAATGGCGTGCACGTAAAAGAACCCTTGACAGTTGAAATACAATTGCTATCCGGGCAAAATATCCCTCATAGCACACTGTGTGGCGTATGTCCATCATCATTACCCCGGTTGGTGGGGACGTTAAACCAATTTTCATTCATTCATTACAAATGTCGACATACAACTACTACTGGCACGATATATCATTGAATCGATGTATCGCGATTCACTTCCCACGATTCGCGCATTGAATCGCGAGACGCTGAACCGATGTATTACGACTCTCTTTTTGATGGGGGTTTTTTATGTTTCAGTAAAGTAACCTGTCACTCTTAATTATCCACGCCACACAATATCCATACACAAACACTCTTAGATTTGTTTTGGTCGTTGTTTTGATCCACATCAATATCGTGTTATAAAACAGTTTTATTTCTTCGACATCGACAGGACTAAAAATATAAATTATTCATTTATCCTGCTGTTTTCTTGGTAGATATTGACCTGGTTATGAAACGTGATACGGATCGTATCGTAGCAACTGAATCGCAATACGTATCGTATCGTGACTGCAGTGGCTACATACAACCGCATAAAGATGAAGAAACCCTTCCCACTTACACCTGGACTGGCGTAGCGTTACACAACTAAATATACATGCATACAATTCACGAGGCAAAAATGGACAAAATGGCTGAGTTATTCAATATAGGCCTAACAGCCTACACATTTTTCGAACTACGTGTAGTTTCTTTTTGTTTACTCTAAATATATCCTTTCATACAATTATAAGGAACGAAATGTTTATTTAGATCATTGACTTACCTCATCCATTGGTGTAGGCTACCTTTGATTTTATCTCATAGTTATAGCTACAATACATACATCTATAGAATGTGTTGTATTATGTAGACTAAAGGTATATTATAAAACGGAAGTAAAACTGTGACCAAGAAGCTTACATGGAAATAACTGGTATTCCTTAAAGGGCCAATCCCGATAATAATATTTTGGAGAATAAAACTGTTTATTTTTGTGTTAAGATAGCTTAACATCCTCTACCTTAGGGCCGAGCAAACTAACTCGGTATATATGATAGGTTTTCAAACAACTTAAACCTGTCAGCCTTCATCTGGAAATGGAAATCTGTGTCCCAAGATGTATTATTTGGTGTCTGGATAAAACCAGACTTTTATTTTATAAAAATAATGTGTAGGTGAAATTTACCTTTCGCTATCAAGTACAGGATGTGGGTCATTCACAGTATAGACCTCTAAAGGAACGGGAATCGATTATCAGGACACCCAACGAAAAAATTGACCCGAAATCTTTAAAAGGGTTACGTGTCCGGATAAACATTTTTGACGTTCACGTCCACACGACTCAATATTTTAAGCTGAAATTTTGAGACAAGGTAAATACACCACTCCTCTATATTTTTATTTTGGTGCTTAAATTTCATATGTACTAAGATTTTTATTTTTGAGACTCTGTTCAAATCGGAATAGCTCCTTTAACGTGTATTTTTGACTGTCATGATGACCGGTTGGGTTATTTTCTGAGTAAACTCTAACATGTTGTTAACTTGCCGATATATCGGTTTAACGATGGCAATAGTCCCCTGTCAGTCGAAGTATACCCCTAGCAAAAAGTCCTACAGAATATCGGTGTAGTTTTCTATATAATTCTAGAGATTTTTGTTGGTTTATTGGGCTTTTTTTTTTTGTTGTTGTTGGGGGTTTTTTTGTGTTTTTTTTTTGTGTGTGTGTTTTTTTTTTTTTTTTTCTGTTTTTTGTTGGTTTTTTTTTTTTTGGGGGGGGGGGGGGTATCCCATTTTCTATAGGATGAAATTATCAAGTATTCTACAGAATTTTAGGGATCTGTAGGAATAAACGTCTCCAGATATTCTACAGCTTCTGTAGTTTTGTTTTGTTTTGTTTGTTTCTGTTTTTTTTTGGGGGGGGGGGGGTATCCCATTTTCTATAGGATGAAATTCTCTAGTATTCTACAGAATTTCAGGGGCCTGTAGGAATAAACGTCCCCAGGTATCCCACAGCTTCTGTAGTGCAAATCATATAATTTTTCCTACAGATTTATGCTAAAAATTTTATATGAGAATACTATAGTATTCTATAGAATTTGTTATAGTTTTATAGCGAATTAGTGCACCCAGAACTCTTTTGTTTTCAATTTTTGTCCGAATCTGTAAATGTTTGGGGTTTTTATTTTATTTTATTTTTTTTTTTAGAATTTTAACACAAACTTCAACTGATGTATACCTTATATATGTGACAGTCAATGTCTACAATCAGACAATGTGTACAATGCCTGAAATATACCAGTCAATGTGTACATTGCCGGGTTAGGGTTAGGTTTAGGGTAAGGGTTGGGGTGGGGGTTAGTTCTACAAAGGCATTCTACACATTGCCTGATTTACATTGACTGTAACATATACACTAATAAACAGAACTATGGTTTAAATTTTCTGAAAAGAATTAATCGAAACTAGGTAGTACAAGGGGTTTTTTTTATTTAATGACAGGCAATTCTTTTGATGAATAGTTTGGAACTGATGGCCTTTTGCAGTCTCAAATAACAATTCTTTCTTTTTCACAGATATCAGTGAGATAAAAATCGTCTGTGCAGCAGTCGCTTAATCGGTAACAGTAACTGATGATTTCCCTTATTTCTTCAAATTTATTTTAAAAGGATCAAGAGTAGCAAAGTTAAACAAGAGTAGCAAAGTTAAAATGATTGTTTGGTTACCATCTATATTTTAACTGTACTCATGTGAATGAAAGGGTTGGACCTACATGGGGAAGTTGAATTTAATGTGCCAGTTTTATCTATTGGTTTTATCTATTGTTTTCTGAATATGGGCATTTCAGTGCGGTGCGTAAAGGGAAGCAACTCCATTTAAAAATGTTTACGCGCCTCTGAGTTATCGGCATCCTGTGTCATTTTGGCTACCGTGGATAACAACCTCATTTTATATAAAGCAGTTAATCGACTAATATGTTGTGATTTTAGATGTCAGTTTTAATTTAATTGCTCAGGGGAAAAGTGAGGATTTTCTTAGCAATGTTCAAAATCAGTAAATTGTAAATGTGTTTCGTAGACATGTTTTACAGTTACACACGTAACAAAGTTTCTGCAGTTAACTCAAAGATGGTCACGAAACTACTAAAAACAATTTCAGTTCACCAATGCACCCACACTAACAATTTAACCTTGCAAAATGCGTCGCCCAAATGGGCATGTTACCAGCAAGTCAGACTTCATTTCTAGAACTTATTTCGTTCAAACCGAAGATTCCTACTCCTAGTGCAAGCCCGGCCATCCGTAACATAATAAATGAAATCAAATGCATGATAATGTATTTCGACGGATAGTTTACCCGAACGACTCGACACTGCCTTGCCTCGCCCCTGCACCACTGGAAAATATCGAGGAACTTTCTCGACCAACACTGAGATCGACCCAGAATCCCAGTGACTTGCACTTGGCAGTGCGACCGTTGCTAGGCCTAGTAAATAAGAATAAATTATAAAAAAATCAAATTTTATCCAATGAAAATGAGATTTATAAACATAATGAATATGAAATAACTATAAATAACGATCTATAATGTACATAGCACGATGTATATTTACATGATTGAACTAGTCTAGTACGATACGATGATGATAATGAGTCAACGATGATCAACTATATCTATATCTAGTAGTCATGAAAATGTCCTAGTGAATGCTTCTACTTGAAACAAACAACGCTGCCTGATGAAGGTATGCACCAGAGATGAAAATAGAATAAAAACGTCAATGAAATTATGAACAACAAAATAATAAACAGTTAATTTCCTAGCACATGATGATGATTCACTCCGTATGTTCACTCACGGTGTCTATAATGTTAGTCCTCTAACACATCACATTTTCTATTTTGAAGTTTTCGCCTTCTTTGGTGATTTGGCTTTCTTTGCTTTCGATTTTGTTGCCTTTTTGGGTTTAGCTGCCTTCGCGGGTGAATTTTTCGCAACTTTAGGCTTCTTGACTTTCTTTGGGCTCTTGGGTTTCTTTTCTCCAGCTGGCTTCTTGGCTTTAACCTTCTTTGGGCTTTTTGGTTTGCTGGCAGCCTTTGGTTTCTTGGCGCTTGGTTTCTTGGCCTTGGGTTTCTTTTCAGCTTTATCTTCGCCGAGTTTGAATGAACCAGAAGCACCAGAACCTTTGGATTGTTTCAATTTACCATTCTTCACACCAGCTCTTAGTGCCAATTTAAGGTGACTGTTGACAGATTTCTCATCTTTTCCAACACTGTATGTACGAATAATATACTTCAAGATGGCTTGTCTGGAGGAACCACCCCTTTCTTTCAGGGAACCTACTGCTGCCTTGATCATCTCACTGTATTTCGGGTGATTAGATGGCTTCTTGACTCCTTTACTGGCAACCTTCTTTTTTGGTGTCTTTACCTTGCCAGCCTTGGCAGGTGCTGCTACGGCAGCGGCGGGAGCTTGTTCAACGTCAGCCATTGTAGTAATGTTTTGGTACTGTCCAATTCTATAAAACAACTCGCAGTCAACCAAGTAACTACTATGAATGACGCGAGCAACTCAATGGGCATTTGTTTATGTCTTTAGCGCGGACGTCAGTGAAAGCACTGCTCTATTAAACCCTTACTGACAGCTGAAATTTGACATTGCAAATTTTCTTGTGCTTCCGTGGGTAGTTTCAACAGTTAATAACTAATATTGGTTAATTGACGAAGACCAAAACCGGAGGGATATTGAAAGAATATACATTTCTCCGTCACTATGTGAATTTTTACTAAAATCCTTTCTAGAATATGGCAGAATTTATGATTCTAAAGCCACAAATGGTAGTGTGTTAACCTATATACGTTCTTTTGGAAACTTAATATTACAAAAATGCAACATGGAGATGTGTTTATATCTATCTAAACTAAGCACCTGATATTTTCTCTAACCGCCACAAGGTTTTTCAAAGTCAATAAAACTCCCGAATCCATTTAATTGGCGACTAAAACTTCACAAACTAACACAGAAAAACGATTGCTTCCGCCATTTTACTTTGTGTATGTACAATAGTGGAGGTATAAATCATCAAAAATATCCCAAGATTTTCATTAAATGGCGATTAATCTCTGTCTTTTGGAATCGATGAAAAACCAGGATTCCACATATACCAAAATTGTTACAAATTACAATTTATCTACTATGCATAAAGCGAAAATAGCAATGACCTTTTTGATAAGTAATACAGTAATGGCGCCATGAAATCCAACCGATGGAAAAGTACGAGTTAAATGATATTAAAATTAATAAAGACAAATTATTTTTTCTACGTTATTTTCACCTGTAATCGCATCTTAGTTTATTTTCTTTTTTTTAAAAAACAAGTTAAATTGTTCTAATTCGTATGTGTATATATATTTTTTTAGTTCTTGTTCTAGATCTGAGTGTAAACCTGTACTGTAGCAGTATAGGGCCTAGTCAGGCTACATTGACAATGTTGTAGGAATTGCGTTGTTTATAAAACGGCAAATTCAGAGAACGTACAATGCCATTTCTCATATTCATATTTAATAAATCATTTTATTGACATATAAATTATCTACTATGCATAAAGCGAAAATAGCAATGACCTTTTTGATAAGTAATACAGTAATGGCGCCATGAAATCCAACCGATGGAAAAGTACGAGTTAAATGATATTAAAATTAATAAAGACAAATTATTTTTTCTACGTTATTTTCACCTGAAATCGCATCTTAGTTTATTTTCTTTTTTTAAAAAACAAGTTAAATTGTTCTCATTCGTATGTGTATATATTTTTTTTTAGTTCTTGTTCTAGATCTGAGTCTAAACCTGTACTGTAGCAGTATAGGGCCTAGTCAGGCTACATTGACAATGTTGTAGGAATTGCGTTGTTTATAAAACGGCAAATTCAGAAAACGTACGATGCCATTTCTCATATTCATATTTAATAAACCATTTTATTGACATATAAATTACACCAATTTAACAAATACATAATTATAAATTATGAATATTTTCATTTATAATATTTATATTAGTTTCCCAACCTCTTTGTTCACAGGCCTGGGTTTTCACTCTTCATGGCATCCATCCCACAGTTTGGTTTTGCCAAATAAGCCATTCTTGTCCATCGAAATTTAAATGATGTCTTTTTCAGTTCCATGTTTAATATGAATTTCTTCCTAATTTATAACATTAGTAATGTCATTACGAAAGACCCACCGAATGCGCTGATGTGTATATATATGTAGGCATACATTGATTTTCAATTAATTTGATATAAAATATTACTTTTGATACCGGTATAGCCTAGTAGAAAATAGCTATCAAGTATAAAAGTATAAAAGTTGGGTGTAAAACATTTTGAATGTAGGTCCTATACACGTGTTTTGACAATGGTTCAACCACTTCATTTTAGAACAGTAGGCCTAGGCCTAGTCCTTCTAACAGAAACTTCAAAATTTGTAAGTCATATGAGCTTGATTAATGAGTAAGTCTAACAAAATGGCCCTTTAAATAATAATAATAAAAAAACAACAACACTGGCTATATATATTCTAAGGATGTATAATACTATATCCAGAAATAAGACTCAATTTTCAGACGGTTTCAAGAGAGTACAGGTTTTGGTCAAATTTAGATATAGTTGTCTCCCTTCTTCCATCAAATATATTGAAAAATACATCAAAATCAACCACTTTACTCCATTCTGATAGGCATCAAATCATAAGCTAGCTGTCTGCTATTTCTTGAGCGTTATCAGATGTCATAATATAGAAATAAGTATAAATCTACCATACATTTTATACCTAGACCTAGAATAATAGACTACCATGACAATGGTTTCTAAATAATATCAGGCAAAATACAACAAAAGGTTAAAAAGTATATAATACATAATATGACATTAATTTACACAGTATTCCTGGTACAATCCGACAATATATACAATACGGAAATAATAAGATGAAATAAACGTCCATAGATCAATTATGTAATCTGGCTATAAACCCAACCTTTAATTAGAATCTATATCAGTCGTATTACTTAACAAACCGATCATAATAATAAACAAGCCAACAGTGAGGCTGATGTCCCCCGCCGAAATCCCCAAATATAGATGACACATATTAATTAATCGCACATCTATTTTTTTCAAAAGTATCGAGCAATCAAACTGATTATCAACTATACACTAAGTTTCATCACTCTCTATCAGATAGAATCAAAGTCATCTTGTCCCAAAGCATCGACCAAGGAAATTGCTAATCTCTGCTTAGCTTTAGCTCGATATGTTAATCATTGAACTCAGTCAAGACGAACATCTACACCAAGTTTAAACATTCTACCCCAATTAGAAACAGAGTTGTTATGTTCCAAAGTCATGACCAATCAAAATGCTTATTGCTCCTTAGCCTAAGCAGACAATTCTCATCATCGAACTTAGTCAAGGTATTGGTGTAATGAAACTATACACCAAGTTTCATCACTCTCACTTAATCAGAACTAAAGTTATCGTGTCCCAAAGCATCAACCAATCAAATTGCTTATCTCTTATTACCATAAGCAGAAAATGCTCATCTTCGCACTCTATCAAGGCATTGACCTCATAAACACCTACACCAAGTTTGAACATTCTAGCTCAATTAGAAGGGGAGTTATTGTGTTCCAAAGTCTAGGCCAATCAAATTGCTTATCGCTCTGCTTACCCTGAGCAGAAAATGCTCAATATCGTACTTAGTCAAGGTATTGATGTAATGAAAGTATACACCAAGTTTCATCACTCTCACTTAATTGGAACTAAAGTTATCGTGTCCCAAAGCATCAACCAATCAAATTGCTTATCTCTACTTACCCTAAGCAGAAAATGCTCATCTTCGAACTCCATCAAGGCATTGACATAATAAACACCTACACCAAGTTTCATCACTCTCACTTAATTTGAACTAAAGTTATCGTGTCCCAAAGCATCAACCATTCAAATTGCTTATCTCTACTTACCCTAAGCAGAAAATGATCATCTTCACACTCCATCAAGGCATTGACCTAATAAACCCCTTCACCAAGTTTGAACATTTTAGCTCAATTAGAAGGAGAGTTGTTGAGTTCCAAAGTCTCGGCCTATCAAATTGCTTATCGCTCTGCTTACCCTGAGCAGAAAATGCTCATTATCGAACTTAGTCAAGGTATTGATGTAATGAAACTACATGTATACACCAAGTTTCATCACTCTCACTTAATTAGAACTAAAGATATCGTGTCCCAACGCATCAACCAATCAAATTGTTTATCTCTGCTTACCCTAAGCAGAAAATGCTCATCTTCGAACTCCATCAAAGCATTGACCTAATAAACACCTACACCAAGTTTGAACATTCTAGGTCAAATAGAAGGAGAGTTATTGTGTCCCAAAAAGTGTGACGGACAGACAGACAGACGGACAGACAGACAGACGGACGAACCCATTTTAATAGTTCCCTGCTTTCTTCGAAAGGCGGGGGACAATAATAATAATAAAGTAGAGGGTTCAAAACCCCTTTATATAGTATAAAAAAACATATATTCGCGTAGATCAATATGTAATCTGGCTATAAACCCAACCTTTAATTAGAATCTATATCAGTCGTATTACCTAACAAACCGATCATAATAATAAGCAGAGGGTTCAAAACCCCTTTATATAGTATAAAAAAACATATATTTAGATTTATTTGTATGTTTACAGGGTGGGCTGGGGGGTAAGGCAAATAAGTCTGGTAAGAACTGGTCAATGAAATTTGCTTCTATGTGTTTTCTTTTAATATGATATAGGGTGTACTCGCATAAATAAGGTTATTTCGATACTAAGATAGAATACATGTAGTTATATGATGTGATTATTTATTTCGCATGTACGAACGATTTTTGTACGTTTCCCAGCGCGATATTAACGACATTCTGATGCAGACGGATTATTTATGTAGAAAAGTAAGATGTTTCTATTATGAATAATTTGGTCGCTAAGCGCAACATTTATGGAACCACAGATTATTACATCACGAATGGTAATTATCTTGTGTATACAGAAAGCTTTTATTGAAATGAAATGAAATGCGGTTTACAAACCGGGCTATATTGCGCCAAACATATGGTGATGGCGATTGCAAGGACGTATTATTGCATTAATTCGGTTGTACTCGTCTATAAACTAAAAAATTATGAACATACGAGTTTTGAAGTAATTAAAAACAAAATACTAGAAACGGCAAAATGATTTACGAAAAGTGAATAAAGCACTACAATGTGTATGGGCAAATCCGTTTGTCGGTGTGAGTTCGCGTGTGTGTGTGTGAGAAAAGTAAATTTGGGAATCTGTGTTTTAAAATGAACAACGGATATTGGAATCCTCACGAAATCCTGGTCGTGCCTGCCTCCACGATAAAGTCATATTATTACCAGTATATTTCCTTTACTTAAAACCTGACACGCAATAAGTCGATTTGACCCAGGCTTTTAACGATAAGCCAATGAAAATTATGTACACAAGGAAGATGGAATAGAATTAGAACGACTTAAA